ATTTTCCACACAATTTCGTTATTTTTTATCTTAAATTGATCTTAAGAATAGTTCTCACAACTCCTCAGAATATCTTAATCAGAGCTAGCTTAGAATTCGACTCAAAACTACTACTAATACACTGAGCCAAAAAAAATCCTTAAAAATTCCATCATCAAACTTATGAACCTGAATAATTTTGATTGCATAAGATACTTATGAATTCCATAGGCATGAGTAATGCAGTTCATAAGCACGACTTATGAATAATTGTCGTAATACGTGGGGCATTACACCTTTAACCTATTCTTTTTCCCAAGCATTGATGGACGTGGGAACAAATCACGGAGTCAATAATCTAGGAGCTTCCGGTCTGCTATATTTTATATTACTTTTTCAAGTTTCATATCTTATGAATTCTGTTTCACATGCCAAAAACCTACAATTTCCATAAGAAATCCTGTCGCGGACAACGCACAAGCGACACAAAGCAAGCAAAAATCTATTGTACCCACACGCCACACAGAATTGTATTTCGCTCTACACTCCACACAGCAGGAAAACACAAACAGCGTCTTCACGCAAGAATATCCTCCCGGCCTGATCACTCTCGAACGAGTCGGTAGGTATAAAAGTACCGACACCAAACTTTACCTTCATCGCCATACCGTGGCGGCCATCGTGACGTGACGCAGTGCCAACGGTGCCTCAATTTTGGACACGGTACCCGCAACTGCAACATCAAGCCACGCTGCAGCAACTGCGCTCACGAACATGCCACTTCTGACTGCCCTGCGGATGGAGCCGGGGCGTTAAAATGCGCCAACTATGGTGGTGCACATCAAGGTTCCGGAAGACACTGCTCCACAGCAAAGGCAAGCAAATTCGCGGGTGCAACTCCCCCCCCCCCCCCCCACCCCTTCAACAATCTTCCGGTGATTCTGCCCCCCACCCCTGGATTCTGGAGACAACCCGCGCTAAACAACAACACCGATCTGTTCTCAGCAGATGAGCTGATGGAAATCTTCGTCAACATGACCGGTGCTCTCCGTAAGTGCCACAATATGCCCGAACAAATCCTCAGTAAGTTCATCATCCAGTATGGCGTCTAAACCGCTAACTATCATCACCTGGAATGCTTGCTCTGTAAGAGCTAAACAGATTGAGCTTGCCGACTTCTTCCGCAAGCACAGCATCGATGTGGGCCTTCTAACCGAAACCCATCTAAAGTCCGGCGACAGCTTCTGGTTGCCTGACCACAACATTATCCGGCTAGATCGCACCAGCTCCAGGGGGGGGGGGTGTTGCGATCGTCGTCAAGAAAGGGATAAAATACCACAGTCTGTCCCATATCTGCACCTCTGTCATCGAGGCCCTTGGTGCGGAGATGGAGTCGTCGACTGGATACGTCCAGTACATCGCCGTCTACTGCCCTCGACAGTGTGCCGCCAGTAGTGGACTAGCGGCTAAATTCAAGAAGGACCTGTTCACTATCACCCGTACCTGTTCCCGCTTCGTAGTTGGAGGAGATCTAAACGCTCGTCATGAGGTCTGGCTTAACTACCAGCAAAACCAGAATGGTCGTCTGCTGTTCGATCACTCACAGCATGGGCTGTACTCCGTTTGGTTTTCGGATGAGCCAACATTTATCTCACCGGCGGGCAACCCATCGACGCTAGACCTGTTCCTGACAAATACCGGTTTGTCCAAGTCAGTGGCCTTGGACGAACTCAACTCCTACCACCAACCAGTTCAGCCACAACTGGGCTACAACGTGACCCCTGCTCCAAGCCTGCGCAAGGACTACCACCGCGTAAACTGGGCCCAACTTGGACGCGAGGTAGACAAATACATCATCGACAACCCGCCGCTTGACACCGTAGAGGACATCGACCGAGCGTTGGAGGGACTCCACCAAGCCATAACCGTGGCTGACGAGGTGTGCGTCCGACGAGTTCCTATGAGGGGTAAGTTTATTGCCATTGATTCCCACACCCAACTCTTGATTCGCCTGAGAAATGTTCGTAGACGCCAGTTTCAGAGGACTGGAGATCTGGGCAAAAAACGTGAAATGGCCGATTTGAACAGGCAGATTGCTTCCAGAATGGACTCACTCCGAAATGAAAGTTTCGGGCGTGTTGTCCAGAATCTGAATGACCGCTCCAGACCATTCTGCGAGGTAGCCAAGGTCCTGAAAACTCATCCCAAACCCCGTTCCACCTCTCAGAGTCGAAAATGATGACGATCAAAAGCCAATCGCCCCACAGAAGAAAGCAAATGCAATCGCCGAGCATGTCGCTTAATCGCATTTGCTTGGCTCGAATATCCAAAGTCCGCTCGATGATCAGGTTGCGCAATGCGTTCAAAACCTAGATGCCTCCCCTTGTGTTGTGCCTCCGGCGGATAAGATTACAAAACAACAGATTTGCTCAGCGCTGAAATACACCACGAACATGAAGGGACCCGGGTTTGACGGTATATTCAACTTGATCTTGAAGAGACTCAGCATGAAACTGCAGTCTCTTCTAACCGCTATCTTCAACAGATGTTTGGAACTGCACTACTTTCCAAGCATCTGGAAGGTAGCAAAAATCATGCCAATCCCCAAACCCGGAAAGGATCCAACATTGCCTTCAAGTTACAGACCAATCAGTCTCCTTTCAGCGCTGAGCAAATTGTTCGAGAAACTCATTCTCAATCGTTTGCTCAAGATTGTCGAGCAACACAATATTCTTCTACCGGAACAGTTCGGGTTCAGGAAGGGGCACTCCACCAATCACCAGCTAGTACGGGTGATGAATAACATCCGAAGTAACAAAGCTGTATCTAAGTCCACAGTCACGGCATTGTTAGACGTTGAGAAAGCGTTTGACAATGTCTGGCATGATGGGCTTGGATACAAGCTTTGTAACTTCAACTTTCCATTGCATCTTGTTAAAATTACCCGTAACTACCTTCAGCAAAGGTCGTTTAAGGTATCGTTGAATGGCTGCCTTTCAAACACGCTCAGAACAGAGTGCTTAGGATGATGCTTCAACGTCCCAAGACATGACACAAGAATTTCAGACCTCCACCAAGAGGCGAACGTTCCAAAATTAGATTTCAAAATTGATGACATTAAGACTAGGTTTGTGCAGAAATGCAGTACATCAGAACATGCTTTGATAAGCAATGTTAGGCAGATTAGGTGTAAACAGTAGTTATAGGTTAGCTGTAGTTGTAAATAGTAGTTATAAGTAGTCTCCTTTTTCGAATTCAAAACAAACCAATCCCACCAAGGTGGTCATGCAAGACAGGCCTGATAGGACTAGGAACTGTAAATAATAATTTAAATTTCAAATGTACTAAAGTTGAAAAGATGCATATGTGTCACTTGATAATTCATACATGTAAACCAAACAAATACAAGAAATAAAGATCATTTAAAGTCAAATTCTTTACCTTCATGAGTACAAATCAAACCATTATACGAATCACACCCGTTCAATATACAAGTAATCTAACGCCGCGAATTCATTTCTTTTTCTCCTGACCGAAGCCAACGACAAGCCAACCAATCAGTCATTTTCAAGACTAAAGAGTTTAACTTTCTGTGGATAAACCCCTGAACCAGTGACCATTTCCGGATAGTTCGCTCAGCCGTTGCCAGGCGTTGGAGACAAGCGTGGTCCTTATGGAATTCTATCGATCCTTTGCTTCAGTATACTCGATGAATTCTATTCAACATTGTCTAAGTAATCTCCTCTTGGAAAGCTTGAAACACAAGATTTACAAGATTTCCTGTACGTATTCTATTACTCTTAAATTAATTTTGTACTGTGCTGAAGGGAGAAGAACGCGACTTTCTTCTATAAGCCCTTTGTATGTACAGTCGAGTTTCGCTCGCTGAACTATCTTTGAGTGAGCTACGTTTTAGTTGGGCTCCCGTTAATTGGGCTGTACAGGGATGGATCGCTCTTTTTTCAGTCTTTTTTGAAAATTCTATATTTTCACGATAAATCCAATTGAATTTTCAGTTAACCCATCTTAAAAAAGATTATTTCGTGCTATTAATCTCACTATCAAAATTTAAAATTTTCGCACCGTAGAGCCACACTCTGTATTTTAACTGAAGGTACACTTGCACTTGGAAATTTTGCATTTTGATATTTTGATATTTTGATATAACTATCTATTTTATGATGGGTTAACAAAAATTTTTGCTGAAATTTACGTCAGCATTCTATATCGTAAAGTAACCAAAAAGCCCCAAAAGAGGGATGTATTGCTAGGGCGGTAGCCCACATAAATCGAAGTCAAATGTCATTTCTGACAAAGCTGATTCCTTTTCGAGGGGCTCATGGATGAACAATTTGGATAGTTACTAAACGATTTTGATGATACTAAACAATCCGTGTATCCTTAAACCAGCGTTTACAGCTCAGCCCAACTAACGAAAGCCTTTCATTAAGCGGGCTATGGGTTTAGTTTAACGAGCGAAAGTTAACTGTACCAATGAATTAAACGGAATTTCGTGATAAATTTGATAATCAAAAACTCTCTGATTAAGCCCCTTTTGTTTGGTGAGGGCCATTTTCACAACCCCCACACTATGCCTGATTATCTGTAGCGACAAGTGTGACAACAAGTATGTGGCGCGTGAGAATACTATAGATAACAGGACGAGGCAAACTGGGTTTAGGGCGCAGAAGATTCACGATGGGTGACATATACTTCTTCGTGAACAGCACCGAAAAATCCGACTCGATGGACCATTTTATCCATTTCTGTAAGCATAATGCTCGAGCCGTTAGTGGCATCACCAAGCGTGCAAGCGTATTATGAGTGCCACGAAGCAAGGGTTCGATTCCTGCTCCAGCTGGTGGAATTTTTCGTAAAAATACATTTTTCTAGCGGGTCTACTGGGTGTTGGCCGTTGTCCGTATGTTATATAGTTGCTCAATCAATTCCATTCCACTACAAATATCATACGTGCCCAAATGAATCTGCTTCAACTATTCCGTCAACGGAAATATACATACCTATCACCATGGAGCAATTCTTGACGGTTCCTGCCGTCAAACGAAACCCACGAGCTATTTCGACTGTCCGGCGAAAGAGCAATCTAAAAGTAAATATAAAAAAAAGAACAATTTAAAACATACCACCCACGAAGCAAATCACCATTCACCCACCTTCAATTCCACACCAGCCGGCAGCACGATCGGCCGGAAGCTAAGCGAATGTGGACAAATCGGCGTCACCAGGATCGCCGGCACCGAGGGATGAATCATGGAAGCTCCTGCAGCGGCCGAGTACGCCGTACTTCCAGTGGGCGTGGACACAATCAGACCATCACCCTGCACCGAAGTGATGTGTTTCCCATCCAGGAACAGATCGATATTGCTCAGGTACGACGATAGACCGCGGTCGATGACCACTTCGTTGAGAACCTACGAGAGCACTTTGATTAATACTGCGGTTTGATTTAATTCAATCGCATTCGAGCTTACTAAAATATTAGTTGCGGGATCCTGCGATGATTTGAACGTTGAAATTTCCTGTTCCGTCTTGTCTTTCCGCACGATAATACACCGTAATCGGCTGCGCAGCGTCAAAGCAGCGTGCCCCTCCAGGACATTGGTAACCTGTTCCTGGAAGTTATCGAACTGAAACGGTGTGAGGAATCCGAGCGATCCCAGATGGAAAGCCATCACCGGTGGAACCGACTTCTGAAATAGCAACGACGCGTATATCAGCGTTCCGTCGCCTCCAAGACAAATAATGAAATCGATCTTGTCCGTCAGGTCATCCCGGCCGTCCCTACAATTGATGGAAACAGAAAATTGCTACAATTGCACCAGGTCATACTTTAAGGAAAATGATCCTACTTGAACGTTATCAGTTTATCCTGAATTTTGGTGAATCGTTTATCACCGGTCAATAGAGGGTCGTCCAAGATAGCAGCTTCTACCCACACGACCATGTGCTTCTCCTGGATCAACCACTCCACCAGCTCCACAAACGGTTGCAGCACCTTTGAATCACGAACCTTCTTTATCACTAGGACCGCCAGCGGAGGCTTGTACCAGGTCAGTCGCTGGCTGGCAGGGTCTTGAATTTGCCTGGAATAGGTGAGAATTGATTATTTTGTTTCGCTCCTGAAGAGTCCCGTATTTAGCACTCACATCACCATGGCGGAGTTTTTCATAATACGGCCACATGGTCCAAACTGTTGGAACGGTGAGGGCGCGTTCAAACTTCGTGTTCGCCTGGAAATAGATAAGAGAAAAACAGTTTAGTAACATTAATTCTGGTTTTTCCAAATTGGCAAATGAAAACAATGGAATTGAAAATATTTCCAATGTATCATTTCCAAACATAAACAAAAAGCTTAAAAATACTTCACAAGGTAAGACACAGGAAAACAGTCCCATTATCACACTAATCAGTTGAGAAACAAGAAAAAAAAAATGCGAAACAAAACTCGACCATCCAGTTTCCGATATCATCACATCGCATTCGACTTAAGTCTTGCATAACAAGCTCCTAGCTGTCTAGCGTGAGCGTTCGCCAACTCCATTTCAGGCCAGACTGCTTGGTAGCTTGGTAGTATAGAGCAGATAACCTCTCCGCTTTGCTTCCTTGCTTCCTTCCTTCCTTCCTTCCTACCTTGCTTCCTAACGAACTTCCCATCATCTCTTCGGTTCTGTCCTTCCCTATGTTACTTAATAGTATTTAATGCGATGCCCATCGGTTTCGGACGCTGCCAATCTATGTGAATGGCAAGCCGGTCCGGCGTTTCCCTGGTTGGTTTGGTTTTGAGCACGCAATCTTGTGTTAATTGGTACCAACTCATACTAACCACCATCATCGGCATCACTCTGCTGAGCCTCAACCAGAAGAGAACATGCCGTCGCGTCGGGCACGGTACATAAGGCTAGGTAACGAGCTACTGACTGAAGCTATATAGCTGGTCGCTGGTGAATGGGATCAAACTTTTCTATTGGGGTGGGTCTTATAATTAAAATCGAGTGGATAGTACGAATGACAAGTGCCAATCAAAATTCTTGAGGGCGAGAACTACAGTTTATTCTTCTTAGTGGTGTCCTACTTCCCCTCTGAGTGTTATATACCGCTGGGGCATATTGTTCACAAATCATAGTAAAGGTTGAACACGAAAAATTCCGGACACATAAAAACGCTGCCATTAATGCATTTTTTGAGATAAATTTTTCAAACTAAAAGTGTATATGATCACAGTAGGCATTGGTTGTCAGAATAAGTCCGTTTGTTTACATCATGGCTTCACTGGAGCAAGCACGTCACGATTCGATCCAGCACGTTCGGTCTATCCGCCCAGGAACTCGGTTGACCGTAATATTGCCTCGGAAGAATGTTAAATAAAAAAAAAGTCGAGATTCCCCTAAAAGTTTCTTGTCTAAGAAGCAATCTGCAGTTGCGGGCTGAAAAGCGAAACTTTCGTTACTCCTGGGACCATGAACCAGCAAACTTACCAGGAGGAGTGCCTACGGAAGAGACTACTGCCTTTTCTGGAGCAACATCAGGTGGATTGCCTATTCTGGCTGGACTTGGCAAGCTGCCACTACCCAAATTCCACCAAACAGTGGTACAGCGAAAATGGCGTCACAGTAGTTCCCAAGGAGATGAATCCGGCCAATACTCCGAAACAGAGGCCAATTGAGGAATACTGGTCAATTGTGCAATTGACCTGAAGGATTTCAAGCGGAAATGGAATTTGGCAACCCAACAAGTGGGAACAGGGCTCGTGCAAAAGATGATGGGCCGTGTACGAAGAGAAGTTCGAGCAATGGCCTATGGTAAGAAGGAAGACTGAAAAAATGGTCTTAGAATAAACATAATACCTACTAATGTATTGAACTATGAAAAATAAAACGCATTTTTAAACCCCAACAAGATTTTTGTGTTCAACCTTTAATTTAAATGTTTATCTGCATAGGGTAATTTTCCAATTGTTGTACACTTCACATTACTTACTGTGCAGTATTAACATAGAGGTAACTCTAAGACCAGAAGGTCCCGAAGAAACGTGCTTAAATTTTTGTCTCAGCTCTGGTACTCTCTTCGGTCCCAAGCTAATCGATGCACCCCTCGAAACTTAGAAAAATCCACGAACCCCTCATTTTATCTGTCAAACTTTCATAGCTAATCAAAACAAACACAGAATTTCGACTAGAATGGGGTGCGTTAATCGATTTGCTTGAGACCAATAGGCTAGTCAAGTAGTGAGCCAATTTAAAATCGTAAGCTTCCACCGCTTGGTATTAATCCATTTTCACAATGTTTACAATCATGATGACACCCTAATCAGTGATCAATTGTTGAATGATAAACATGTGGCAGTATTGAGAAATTCGTAGCTTTTAGTTTTAGGATTTGAAAGATCGTCGGTTGGCTTGCTTACTAGGCAGAAAAACGCGGTCCCAGGTCCTTCCATATAAAAAGGTATGTTGTTTTTCGTGTATTTTGTAAACCTTTTCGTTGTCGTCGGTGCCGGCTTTGAATAGTTATAACAACTTGAATAACGGTATCATGTGATATGAGGGGCTCGGTGGCCTTAGAGCAACCGTTTTTGCTTACTGAGCAGAACATCATGAGTCTAATCTCAAGCCCATTCACATACAAGATTCATCAATCGCTTTATTTGTTAACATGACTACATGGTAATAACAGCAACTCGATGATTAAAATGGAGCTCGTCTGCCTACCCGAGCAAAGTTTGAGATCAAATTGAAATCTAAATTTGATGTTGTGATTTCGCTGATAATGATTACTCAGGTTGCTGTCGTTTTGGTCGTTTTAACGGTTAAAATATCAAAATTGAGAGCAAACAAATCTTCCTGTGACATCACATTGAAAACTATTTCTGCTATCAGTGAGAGCAAAATGAAAACTAAATTTGATATCCATTTTTACCTGTTGGTAACAAAACAAATATTCAATTTGATGTTATGCTAAGGCAATGAAAACAAACCCACACAACAACAATATTTTTGAAGAGCAAATGTACAGCAAAATGAAAACAAAATTAGGTATCAAATTTGTCAATTGCGTAAACTGACATCAAATTATGATTTCAGTTTGATGTTGATATCAAAACTTGATTTCAACTTGCTGTCATTTTGATGCTGGACTTTGCTCGGGTAGTGGCAAACGTTTTTGCTTACCGAGCAGAAGACCGTGAGTTCAATCCCAAGCTCTTTCGCGTTATATGATCGTTAGGACATTAATTCAGCTTATCGTTTACCAAAACGAACGCTGCTGCAAACCCAACCCTATTACCCAATATCCCAGTGATTCCTCGTGGAAGTGCAGAGGTGTTCTCGGCTTCCATCAAATCGAGTGTCACGTCAACACATTCCCACCCTTCCTTTCTTGACCTGTGTTCGTAATTTCAATTGAATTCTGTCCAATGTTTCTATGGAGATTAATTTTACTAAAATTTTAAGCACAATTTCTGGGAGACATTCAAAACCATTTTGGCAAAGTACTTGAGTACTTAGGTAATACTGAAAAGGATTTCAAAACAATTCTGACCTTACCTACAAAGCAGATCAAATGGAATTATCGGATGAGTCTGAGAAGAGTGTGACGGTCATTCTGAAGAGTGTACCAAGGAAATTGTATTGTTAAGAATATTTTAAGAATTTCGTAGAGAAAAATGGACACAAAATTGAACCAATTCTTGGGGATTATTACCAGTTTGAGGGAGTTGTGGAATTGGAGAGTGATTTATAAGAGATTACAAGAGGTAATGCTAAGAATTCTTAGAATGTTACTGGAAAAGTTTAGATATTTTCAAGATTATTTTAGGGGAATATAAAATGAAAATATGATGAAATTCTAGGATGATTTAAATTGAACTAAAAAAAAGGCGATGATATCCGGTGAAGAGTTCCAAGTAAATTCAGACTAACAAAAACAAATCATAATCTGGGACGGAGGAAAAATATAAATTCCAGAATTTAGAATCATTGCAAGATCCTGAGACTTCAAAAATGAAGCTATCAGACTTTCATTTTAGTAAGATAATAAAATTATTCTTTGGCATAAAATTATTCGTAATGGTCATGCGAATAATGGAGTTACCCGTAGTTTAGGTAAACTGTGTGTGAGTTCCACGATGTTAGGCTTTAATTCCCACTTCAGGGTGTTGTGTGTTGTATGATGTCATGAATTAAACTGTAAATCTGATGAACCTCAGACTAATATTAAAGTTATTTAGAACTTATATTTTTTTTAATTCTGGTACTGCATCAAATAGTAAGGACTACATCGACTATTAGTTCAAAAAATCCATCCCAACGAATTTCCTTGATTCTTTGCTACTCATTCTTTTATAAAAAGTTACAGTTTAAAAAACAATTCTAACCATATTTTCTCCTGTTTTTTTAACCACATATACTCAATTTTTGAAATCCTTCGTAATGGTTATTTGAACTTTTTGGGCACACCGTGTCTATACTTATCAGCTTTTGGATGATTTTAAAGCAATGCTAACAAGTTATTTGTTTTATATAATTTATTTAAACATGTAATTTAAATAAATTCCAGATGATCATACTGACCTATTTTTACGGGAGATTGGCATACCACTTGGATTTCAATAGCATTATGTTAAAAAGATTATTTTTTGGAGCATTCCAGATTTTTCCAGATTTTATATTTTACTTGGTCCAGATTTTTCTGAAAATGACCTGGCAACGCTGCGTACTGGTCCATTCCTCATTCCGTTGTTGGTTTTCTTCTTCCGTTCGTTGTTGTACTGGCTGCTTTCGACCCTTCCGCTTTGGGCAAAAATTGTTGTTCCCTTGGTATAATATGTTCCCCTTCCGATTAAGGAAATGCAGCGATTAAGTAAGACCTCGCACATCTGTAAGCATATCGAGGCCCAAAGTAGCTGGAAATTTATCCCATACTACACGCTTTACATCACCGTATTTCCCTAGTACCAATGCTAGATCGCTATCCGGGAATTCTGGTGGTAGGTCGTAAACTCTCACGTGCTGAACGGTGCCCCAGCAGGTGACATGCGTAGCTCAACTGACTTCCCATCGGCATAATGGAAAATTAATTGTTCACTGTTGTTTAGCAAACAGTAAAGTATCGAATCCTCTGATTTTAACTTGATAAACATAGGTTTTTCCTCCGCTATACGGTATGTAGCGATCATCTGAGTGGGATCCGTATCCAGCGATTTTACAAACTTCACAATGTCTTCCATTGATGG